AACCTTATTTTCTTTCATAACACCTAGAACAGTGGGTCCTTAGGTGTTTTGGCCTACAACTCCCAGAAATCCCAGTCAGTTTACCAGCTGTAAGGATTTCTGGGAGTTGAAGGCCAAAACATCTGGGGACCCACAGGTTGAGAAACACTGACCTAGAACCTCAAATAATCCAAATGAAGCAGAATGGTATGAGATTCAGAATGGATAAAAGGAAGCTGTTCCCCACAAGGCACATAATTTCAATAGTACATGATGTTATTAAGATAAGCATCAACTTGAATGTATTCAAAACAGGATTAGACAGATTCATTAAGGCCATCTATCAATGGTTATTAGATGTGATGACTATATATTATTTGGGAGCCTGAGGGAGTCTGCCTCTGAATGTCAGGCGCTACTGAATGCGAAGGTAATCTGTGCTCATGTTCTGAGGAGGCTTCGCCGAGGCATGTGGTTAACCTCCAGGAAAACAGAGTGCTAGACTATGTAGGCTAGTGGTCTGATCCTAATCCAAATATATACCAACTCAATTCTACATGTTAACTCTATTTCAGTCATTATTTTTAAAAAAGTAAATCTTCTAAAAGTTGTTGTCTTCTTCGCTATACTCTGTACTGAACAGGAAGCAATATACTAATATTGAAAGCAAAATAATTAAAAGTATCATTCTGTTAAGGGATTTTTCTTTCAACCAAAAGAATATTGAGAGTAATAGCTTATTTTAAAAAAAACCCACTGTAAGATATGTCATTTCCTATTCCTCAGAGAAAGTATCATTGCACGAAGGTTTGTTTGTTTCTCTGTCTCTCTCTGAGTTCTCCCTTACAAATAGTTCTGCCCCTTTATCTCACCCTGAGTTTTAAAATCATTTTATGTACATGCGGCCTGCTCTCTGTCATTATGTTCGGTTTCTATGTTTTGTGTATATTGTTTGGATGCTTTGATGTTTTATACTTTATTGTTATGTTGTTTATTTTACTGCAATTTGTATTTTTGTATTGTAATTTGTTGTTCGGGCTTGGACCCAAGTAAGCTGCTCCGAGCCCCCGTTGGGGGAGATGGTGGCAGGGTATAAATACAGATTATTATTATTATTATTAAGAGTTTGTTTTGTGGAGGGGAAGGAACTATCCTTTCAACAATATTAGTTCTCTCTAATTTTCACTATGTAATATTTACGCATGCTAAATAAGATAAAGCCAGGAGCCCACAGTGGCGCAATGGGTTAAAAACTTGTGCCGACAGGACTGCTGGCTGAAAGATCGGCGGTTCAAATCCAGAGAACAGGGTGAGCTCCCGTCTGCCAGCTCTAGCTTCTCATGTGCGGACATGGGAGAAGCCTCCCACAGGATGGTAAAACATCCAGCCGTCCCCCGGGCAATGTCCTTGCAAACAGCCAATTCTCTCACACCAGAAGTGACTTACAGTTTCTCAAGCTAAAGGCAATAAATTCCATCTGATCTCAGAAGTTAAGCAAGGTCAGCCCTGGTTAGGACTTGCACGGGATATAGATAACAAACACCAGGTGCTGTAGGCTATACTTTAGAAGAAGCAACTGGCAAAACCACCTCTGAGTAATCCATGCCAAAGAAAACCCTATGAAATCCATAGCTTCGCCGTAAGTAAATACACTCTAAATAAAAAACAAACAAATATGTTGACAAGCAACCTGAAGGTAGCATATACAATATTTGTCTTTAATATTTATCTGTATCATTGGACAGCCATTATATATAGCAACCCAAGCGAATCTTTCTATACATGGGTCCATTACATTCTGGTGGAATATTTTATTGCATGAGAATAAAATGTGATTTTACTGTTAAAGTCTGTCTAGATTAAGCAATTTCAATATACCAGGATTTGTCCAGGTCGGAGGTTTTCAATATGGATAAGTTAACTTAGGGCTCTTCCACACAGATATTTAACCCCAGAAACTCCACAATACCTGCTTTGAACTGTGTTATCTGAGTCCACAAAGCCATATATTCCAGTTCAAAGCAGAAAATGCGGGATTTTATCCAGTTGTGTGGAAGGAATGTGAATATAAACAGTAGCCTGCAAATTAAATCTTGAGTTTTGAAGATGGTCTTTGAAAGTCCAAGAGCCAGTCTGCAATTCTCTGCTGGAGAAATCTCCTCTTCCTTCTGCGTGGGCATGGCTTAGCTAGGATGCCATTACAAGTTTCAAGGCTTCCTCTTCTAAAAGATAAAAAGTTTGCCTCACACTGCTGAAATCTATGCTCTGCAGTGCCAGTCTTTCCCCCAACTGCCTATGGGAAGGGGGGCAGGAAAAGACAGAGGCTGCTTCCACACAGCTGAATAAAATCCCACATTATCTGCTTTGAATTGGCACTGTGGACTCAGATAACCCAGTTCAAAGCAGATATTGTGGGATTCTCTGCCTTGATATTCTGGGATATAGGGCTGTGTGGAAGGGCTCTAACATATTTAATTCTTGTGGAAGTTACTAGACCAGGCGTGGGCAAACTTTGGCCCTCCAGGTGTTTTGGACTTCATCTCCCACAATTCCTAACAGCCGGTAGGCTGTTAGGAATTGTGGGAGTTGAAGTCCAAAACACCTGGAGGGCCAAAGTTTGCCCATATCTGTATTACACTATATGGAATATCAAGCACTGCATAACACCTAAATCCAAAGGAAGGCGTATGATTCTTCGGTACATCAAAGCATTAGAAAATCAACTATATATCCCTATAAATCCCAGAATAATATATATTCATATGGGAGATATAATTTGATGTGCCATGTCTCTGTGTTCTTTCAGACAGGCCCTATATACCAGATTTTCTGCTTCAAACTGGATTATATGAGTCTGTACTGTTAGATTTTTTTTTAATCATGTCAGAAGTGACTTGAGAACATACTGCAAGTCACTTCTGGTGTGAGAGAATTGGCTATCTACAGAGACGCTGCCCAGGGGACGCCCGGATGTGTTGTTACCATCCTGCTGGGAGACTTCTCTAATGTCCCTGTAAACTAGAGCTGACAAACGGGAGCTCACTCCATCTTAAGGATTTGAACTGGCAACCTTCAGGTCAGCAGTTCAGCTGGCACAAGGGTTTAACCCACTGCGCCACCTCGGCCCCCATAGATATTATTGCCAGATAGGTAAAGGTTTCCGCTTGACATGAAGTCTAGTCGTGTCCGACTCTGGGGGGTGGCGCTCATCTCAATTTCTAAGCTGAAGACCTGGCATTGTCCATAGACACCTCCAAGGTCATGTGGCCAGCATGACTGCACGGAAAGCTGTTACCTTCCCGCCGAAGCGGTATCTATTGATCTACTCAAATTTGCATGTTTTCAAACTGCTAGGTTGGCAGATGCTGGGGCTAACAGTGGGAGCTCACCCCACTCTCTGGATGTGAACTACCGACCTTTCGGTTAGAAAGTTCAGCAGCACAATGGTTTCACTCACTGCGATACCAGGTGCTCCTATTGTCAGATAATCTGGGATAAACCTGGGATATAAGGCCTGCCTGGAAGGCCCCTCTGTGTGGGTTTCATTCAGGGATAGACTGCACTCCTCTCCCTTATTTCAAGTAACTTGGAACTTGCATTACTAAGAGTTCTTAGTGCCCTTCCACACAGTGGTATAGCCCAGAATATCAAGGCAGAAAAATCCCACAATGTCTGCTTTGAACTGGGTTATCTGAGTCCACACTGCCATATATTCCAATGTAAAGTAGAAAAAGATGTGTGGAAGGGGTCTGACTTTGTATTAAGTTCTGAAAACACTCCTTGCTGACTGGAGTTTCTTGCAGCTTCAGAGGACTGTTCAGTCCAAGGCTTTAAAGGACTTTAAAAGCCCATGTTTTCTCTGAGTGGAAGGCAGAAAGAAGAGCTAAAGAGACGCCCATCCACCAAACATGGGTGAATCTGGGTGGCAATACAGTGCAGAAGGAGTGCAATTTGACGCCACTAGGAGCCTTAGAGGTTGTAGTTTGGTGAGGCACTAGCCCAAATGAGTGCCAGGACTCTCCCAGGCTGGAAGAAGTCAGACCTTGAAACTGCTAGGTTATTAAATACTAATCAAGGTGGCCAATTTCAACATTCACACTTGTTTCCAGCAGACAAGAGTTCCTTCTCCCACCCTGGCCATTCCACAGATATATAAACCCCACTTGCCTAGTTTCCAACAGACCACACAACCTCTGAGGATGCCTGCCATAGAGGTAGGCGAAACGTCAGGAGAGAATGCTTCTGTAACATGGCCATACACCCTGGAAAACTCACAGCAAACTAACTCTCCTCTTTGGGAGAAATTCACGTTTTCTCTAAGGCAAAAAGAAGAGCTAAAGAGAAAACCAATCCTCCAAACATGGGTGAAGCTGGGTGGCAATAGAGTTCAGGATTGGTGCACCTTGGAACTGCGAGGAGTCCTAGAAGTTGTAGTTTGGTGAGGCACCAGCCCAAATTACTGCCAGCACTCCCCCAGGCAGGTATAAGCCAGGCCTTGAAACCTCTAGGCCATTCAATGCTATTCCAGGTGGTCAATTGAAACATTCACACCTTCCTCCAACAGACAAGAGTTCTTTCTCCAACCTGGATATTCCAGATATATAAACCCAATTTTCCTAGTTTTCAACAGACCTCACAGCCTCTGAGGATGCCTGCCATAGATGCAGACGAAACTTCAGGAGAGAGTGCTTCTGGAACATGGCCATACAGCCCGGAAAACTCACAATAAGTTGTAGTTTGGTGAGGCACACAGCTCTCCTCTTGGGCAGAAGAAGCTGAAGACTTTGTCAAACTACCAAAGCACTGAGTGAGCTAGGGCGGTGAAAGCGAGATCAAACTGCACCCAATCCCACAGTGTAGACATGTGAAGTGCTGAGACAAGAGGAGGGAGGAAGGGATGGACGAAAGAAAGGAAAAGGGGAGCCTAGGAAGCAAGGAAGAGGGGCAAAACCAGGGGTCTGTCCTGTGAGTCCTGCCTGTCCTCCATGGCCGGCTTCGCCTTGCCCTTGGGCTTCTCCTACCTGCTTTCGCCCTGGGCTTTGTCCCCTTCCTCCTTGGAAGAGCTCCGGGAGAAGAGCCGGGAGAAGCTGTTCTGCCAGAAGGAGGAGCCCGTCCTCCTCCGCCCGGGCGCTCCGGACATCTCGCCAGACAGCAAGGAAGGATCCCACCAAGGTCTCCGCCAAGCCCCGCTTTCCGCCTCGCCTCTTAGCCCATGGCTCCAAGGAGGCGGACGAAGCCCAGCGCCGGGCTTAGCGAGGATTGCCTGCCTGCCTGCCTGCCCTCCTCCTCCTCCTCCTGCTTCTCCTCCTCCTCCTGCTCTTTCCGTGGGAGGCGGGCGCGGCTGCCCGGCTTCCCCAGCCCACGAGGAGGAGCCAAGGCTTGAAGCGCCCGCCTCCGCTTGGGAAGGCCCGCCTCCTCCGCCCGGGTTTGGGCGCGCCGCTCTCGCCCCCGCCTTCCTCTTTTCCTCTCTCACGCCAGCCAAGAAGTTCAGGTCCGTCAGGGAGAAGGAGAAGGAGAAAGAGGAGAGGAGAAACGGAGAAAGAGAGAAGAAGAAAAGGAGAAAGAAGGAGAACGGGAGAAGGAGAAAGGGAGAATGAGAAAAGGAGAAAGAGAGAAGGAGAAAAGGGAGAAGGAGAAGAGGAGGAGAAAGGGAGAAGGAGAAAGGGAGAAGAAAAAAGGAGAAAGAGAGAAGAAGAAAGAGGAGAAAGGGAGAGAAGGAGAAAAGGGAGAAGAGGAGAAGGAGAAAGGGAGAAGTGAAAAGGAGAAAGAGAGAAGAGGAAAGAGGAGAAAGGGAGAAAGAGAGAAGAGAAGGAGAAAAGGGAGAAGGAGAAGAGGAGGGGAGAAAGGGAGAAGAGAAAATAAGAAAGAGGGGTGAAAGGGAAAAAGGAGGAGAAAGGGAGAAGGAGAAAAGAAGAAGAGGAGAAGGAGAAAGGGAGAAGGTGAAAAGTAGAAGAGGAGAACGAGAAAGGGAAAGAGAAGGGGAGAAGGAGAAAAGGAGAAGGAGAAAGAGAGAATGAGAGGAGAAAGGGAGAAGTAGAAGGGAAAGGGGGAAGGAGAGAAGGAGAAAGGGAGAAGGAGAAAAGAAGGGGAAAGGGAGAAGAGAAGAAGAAAGGGAGAAGGAGAAAGGGGGAAGGAGAGAAGAAGGGCCACTTGCTTCAAGTCCCTGAGAGTGCTGCCACAGTAAAACAGGCATGGGCCAACTTGGGCCCTCCAGGTGTTTTGGACTTCAACTCCCACAATTCCTAACAGACAGTAGGGCCCATTTTGGCCTATGCCTGGGTTAGAGACTTGCCCCTCTCTTCCTCTCATAAGGCGTTCCTTCATTTTTCAAATGGCTTGAACTTTTTGTTTGTAACAAACTCAACAACAACTGATGCATTTATTCCAATGGCTAACAATATCACTTGATGAATCAAAGGTGGAAAATTCTTCACCAGGAATATTTATAACTTGAGAACATAATCAGTAGCTTTTTCTGTACTAGTAATTATTATTCTCTTTGTGTTGTCAAAGGCTTTCATGGCAAGAATCACTGGGTTGCTGTGAGTGGCCGTGTCCCAGAAGCATTCTCTCCTGACGTTTCACCCACATCTATGGCAGGCATCCTCAGAGGTTGTGAGGTCTGTTGGAAACTAGGGGTTTATATGCCACGAGGCATCCCAGAAGGATACTGTTGTCTATGGTATCAAATGCCAATCCATGAGCACAAACAGACAGTGACGCTTTGTGGCTGGGTGTAGCTATCATCTGAAGCCTATGAATTGTGTAATCTTAGCTAATCTGTAGTTTTATGAAGGCTAAGCAATTTTACATTATGGAAAGAAAGAAAGAAAAAAATTAAAATAGTTAAAGGTTTTCCATATTTGGAGACAATCATTAATCAGAATGAAGTGAAGAAATCAGAAGAAGGTTAGGACTTAGAAGGCCAGCTATGAAGATCTAGACAAGGCCTTGAAGTATAAATATATGTAATTGAATGGATACTAAAGATAGGATTGTCCATGCCATTGTGTTTCCAGTGTCGGTATTTGGACTGACGATTTGGAGTGCCTCTGATGTTGCTGTGAGAAGGTCCTTTTGTACATGCAGCAAGGCTCAGACTGCATTGTAGTAAGTGGTCTGTGGTTTGCTCGCATGTTGTGGACTCCACTTTGTAGCCCCATTTCTTAAGGTTGGCTCTGCATCTCATGGTACCAGAGTGCAGTCTGTTTAGCTTCTTCCAAGTTGCCCAGCCTTCGTTGTGACCAGCGAGGAGTTTCTCATCCGATCTCAGCCACTGAGAGTGCCTTGGATCAGAAGAAGATCCAGCCAGTCCATACTTCAGGAAATTAAGCCCAACTGCTCATTGGAGGGAAGGATATTACAGGCAAAGATAAAGTACTTTGGCCACATCATGAGAAGACAGGAAAGCTTAGAGGAGACAGTGGAAGGAAGGAAAAAGGAAGAGGGGCCGACCAAGGGAAAGATGGATGGATGGTTTCTTTGAAGTGATTGGCTTGACTTTGAAGGAGCTGGGGGTGGGCCAGCTCTGGCGTGGGCTGGCCTATGAGGTCACAAAGAGTCAGAAGTGACTGAACGAATAAACAACAACCACTTCAGCCACTGGTTTTAACCTGCCATTTTTGGACTCTCACTTGCTGTTCCGCGTCCTAGTCTCCAAGGCAGCAGAAAACAAGCTTGTTCCCTCCGCCCCATGACTTCCCCTCACATATTTATACATGGTATAAAGGATTAGGAATTTATTTGAGAATAAAATCCCCAAAAGGCTGAACACCAAATATGATTGGAATGAGGCTTCTATGTATAACCCCCCCCCCCCCCAAAAGCTGTAATAAGCTGGAACTTTTTTCTGGCCGAAAAACCACAGACTCTGCTTTTAAAACTTTTACCCACAGAGGCACACATGAGGCAGATGTTGTGAACAACAAAACCATGATGCTTATTTAAGAGAACTGGAACAATTCAGGTATAAAGCTTAGCTGTTTCAAAGTATTGGCATAAAAGTGTGTTGTTATGTTAAGGAGTTCAGACTTAGTTACACAGGAACATTTCTCTCTCCCTCCACAGAATTTACTAACAGGATTTCCTCTCTGAAAGTAATTCTAAACTCTTCTACAGATAGTCCTACCCTGGATCTATCTCTTCACTCCTTCACCAGCTGTCTCCCTAATAACTGTAAAAATCTTCTCACTAGCTATCTCTACTAGCCAACTGACCAGTTTCAGGCCTCTCTCACTAACCCTTCTCCACTCCTAACTCCCAGCTCCTTCTTCTTTGACACCCACAGTCAATCTCCTTTGACACCCAGATTCAATCTACCTGACAGAGTTTCAAGACCTTCCCTTAAAGTCATTTTTTTCTTTTGTGAAGTTAAGCTCCACCCCCTCTCTCTCAACAATCACTAACTCCCCTCATTTCCCTCCAAAGCCTTTCTTTCTAAACACGCAACTTCAGGAAATGAGTAACTAAAATGGATTCCCCCCGGCACCCTTTCCAAAATGGCTGCCGAACTTCTTGGGCCTACTTTTCAAGGCTTTTCCTAGCCTAACGGGTAGGGAATTCACTACACATGGCCATCATGTTTCAGCCTTCTCCTTTTCAGGCTAAACATGCCCAGCTCTTTAAGCCACTCCTCATAGGGCTTGTTCTCCAGACCCTTGATAAATTTTAGTTGCCCTCCTCTGGACACATTCCAGCTTTTCAACATCTTCCTTCAATTGTGGTGCCGAGAATTGGACACAGTATTCCAGGTGTGATCTAACCAAGGCAGAATAGAGGGGTAGCATGACTTCCCTGGATCTAGACACTATACCCCTGCAAGTGTTCCTGCAAGTACCTCTGTAAATTTAGAAAGCTATTTCTTGATTTAAGGCTTTGGCTTGCTGGCTGATATCTGAACAGAGGATGGGCTGGAGATGTCGATGCCTTGATCCTTTCATTACTGGCTGCAACTTCCCGAAGGATATCAGGTGGTGCGATACTGACTAAATAGTATAATTTCTCCAGTGGTGTAGGGTGTAGACATTCTGTAATAATGTGGCATGTCTCATTAAGAGCCACATCCACTGTTTTAACGTGGTAATATGTGTTCCACACTGGGCATGCGTATTCAGCAGCAGAGTAGCAAAGCGCAAGGGCAGATGTCTTCACTGTATCTGGTTGTGCTCCCCAGGTTGTGCCAGTCACCTTTCGTATGATTTTATTTCTACAATCCGCTTTTTGCTTGATATTCAGGCAGTGCTCCTTATAAGTCTGAGCAACTCCCATGTATTTTGGTGTGTTCAATGCTCCAGTGGGATTCCATCCCAAGTAATCCTTGGAGCTCGAGATGCTTGTCTGTTCCAGTGGTGATGAAAGCAGTGAAGAAAGCTGATAGGAAGAAAATCAGCTCATTTCAAATGTGCTGGGGAAGAGCCCTATGGATCCCATAGACTGCTAAAATAAATGGACCCTAGAGCAAATTAAGCCTGACCTTTTATGAGAAACCAAGATGACTAATACTGTCACACTTTGGCCATTTCATAATAAGACATAACTCACTATACAAGAAAATAATGCTACTGGAGATGGAGTGACTTGGAGGCCTCTCATTCATATGGTCACCGTGACTCAAAGTCAATCCGATGGCACTTAACAGCAAATGATTATTGTGAGTGACTAGCTCATTTCTTAGTAAAACATCCATTCCCTTTCTGCAGGATCAACCCTTCCTTGAAATATGGCCCTTTACAGAGGAAAGGTGAAACTTTAGGTTTATCATTCTGGTAATAAACATTTTTCAGCTCATTCATTACAACATGTAGTCTTGCTTTCAGTATCCTATTTCTACCATAATAACCAGGTGAATTAATTCTTTAACAAATAAGCTATGGAAAAAGAAGTTCAGTATTCACACTTTTGTCAGTATGTACAGATTTAAACCCCACGGAGTAAACAGAAGAACAGCTAGTCCGAGAACACTGCTCTACTCAAATTCTGATAAATCAGCTGATACATTACTTTAGAAAGGTCACTTCAAGGAAACATTATGTGCCAGGGGTTTTGCTGCTGGCTGATGAACCAAACAGCAAAGTAATTACATTCCCCTCTCACATCTAGAAATATTTTGTGTACAACAAAGCCCCTTTTGGGATTGAACAGCAGTTTTCCTCTTCTGGCCATAATGTTACAAAACAACAAGTTATATATCTTAGAATGATGATCCTGCTTTTGACTCCTAAACTGGGATTCACAAGACCCTTAGATTGCACATGTGAGAATTATAGACTTAA